AGTCCCAAAGAGGAATGATCGATTCTCGAAATTAAATCTTGACTTTATTAGACCCTAAACCTGCTAGATTCAGAATGACGCGTTTCGATACGACGACACCTCTACTATATTGCTAATGAGTAACCTCTAACGTATTTCATAAGCGAATGTGCCAATCTGCCTACAACACTAGGGCTGTTGCGAATATTATTCGCAATATTCGCAATTCGCAAATTATTGAGTAGTTAATTTTATATCGGAATGTCCCGTTCAGTTGCGCGTTGACGGGAAACAAATTGGTACCACAAAAACACTGGGAGGTCAGTCTGCTATCTATAAAATGAGATGATAACTGTTACAATGATTTTACTAGCACTTATGTACACCATCTCTGTATACGATAGTTCGGGCAGTTAATTACTGCTTATATACATCATCTAGTAGCATTAGAATCCTCATCGTTTCAGACTTCATGGAGAATCTCCGTACTCCAAGTACGTCTCTTCCCGCGCTGAACAATCTCTCAACTGAGACTGAAGAGGCTGGAATTACTAAGTAATCCCTAGCAGCCGCAGCCATTCGAGGGTAGTCCTTTCTATGCGCCCTCCACCAATCGCATAGGTAATTCGGATCTTCCATGTCATTGGCATCAACCCGGGCTTAAAATACCGATCAATGTCAGATAATTGCGGCTTGTCTCGAGGCTGTAGTCTTTGTAACATCCCTCTGCTCTTCGAGAGGCTGTGCGATATTAAGTGGTTCTGTATTTCGGGGTAATTGCGATGAAGATTGTCACGGAGAGCTTGCAGAATCTTCTCGCTAGTGTCTTCATCATCCAACTCATATCGGAGAAGATCTCCCTTCACGCGAGGATCCAGAACCAGGGCTGTATAATATGTATCCAACGCGTCCATAAAAGCGTAGTACTTCCTGTACTTCTTGATGCCCTCTTTCATAGCACTCGCAATATCCGCGTCGAGATCTGCAAAGTCTTCCTTGAGCTCAGCAGCATCATTCAACAAATCATGCAGCTCGTAATACACTGGTACTGAAAGACTGATCTGCGGCTTTTTCTGCGAGACGAATAAGGTAAGCTCATTGAATTTTGAAAGAACACTGTGGATTTGGGAAAGCCGATGCCAATCTCTCACTGAGAACAGAACGAACTCTGTCTCATTGTGGATAAACTCTCAAGCTGGTACCTTGACTTTGAAGTGCTAACCTTAATGGCAGATGAACTTCAGAAGCTAGTAGCTTACCTGCAAAGCATCACTTAACATTCTGAAAGCAGAATTCCATCGTGTATCAACGTCATACTCGATGAATTTATCAGGCAGATTCATGCGCTTGCAATTGTCGTTCCATGCCTGCCTGCGTTGAGGACTTCGGTGGATCCAGAGAGCTATGATACGAAGCCTTTCAAGTGGTTCAAGGGCCCGAAGAGATTGGTGTTCTCCTTCATCAAGGTTATTACAGACAGCATCAGCTTCGTCTGTATTGCCGGACTTAAGAGCACAAAGGATATCCTTAAAAATGAGGTAGATGATATGTGCTAAACAGCGCACGTAATTTCCTAAACCCCAGAATAAAGGGTCTGCCTCGCACTTCTTCTGCAGACTTTGGGACAGCTGTAACACCATCGGCTCATTGTTACTAGCATTGTCGCCAGTGATTGTGAGCAGTTTGCTTTCAAGTTCCAATTCTACAAGCACAGCTTCAACTGCTACAGCCAAGTTCTCTCATCTATGTTGTCCATGGAGTTCCTTGAACTCCAGGACTTTCTCTCTATATTCGAGTTCTTCGGTGAACCAATGGCCAATGACACCGAGGATTGGGAGGTTATTTTTGCTGGTCCAGACGTCCATGGACAAAGCGATTGTTTTGCATGTGGCAGCAAGCTCCTGTTTCAACTTAACAGGTTGGAAGTCGAAATCTTCCATAAGACGCTGCCGAAAGGTTTGACGAAAGGCGAATGGAAGTGAGATTCCCGGTATATCCTTGAATATTTGCCGAAAGGACGGTGATTCAACGACTGTGAAGGATTGCTTGCAGCTAATAACCCAGCGAAGGAGATTCTTTTCAAGACGCTCTTGAAATGTGAGTTTCTCCTTATTACCCCAGAGGCTAACCATAGTAGACTTTGGGGCAGCAACAGCTGGCTCAGGGACCCCAGGCGGTAGAATCCCGTGCTTGTCCTTCAAATGGTGCCGAATATTAGTCGTAGAGGTCTGCCTTTTTGAGTCTGTTGTAGACCAGTTGCATTGTTTCCCGGTATCTTTGTTGATCCAAGTACACAGGATTTCTCGGTCGATGAATCTTTTCTTATTGTTCCTCTTATCAATCCATTCGTTAGGAAACTCTCTAGTCTGAAAATAGCCCCACAACCATTCAGTTTTCAGGGGAGTTGGGTGAGCAGTTTGGGAACTGGCAGCTGCGACTGGAGACTGAGAGGCTGATTCTGAAGGCAGTACCTCATCGTCTAGAATTTCAACACATGAATTGATATCTGCACTGACTGCCGATTGACTGAGGGAGTAAAGTAGATATGATGGGCCTGCCTCTTCTAGGTCTTGGGTTGCTGGACTTAGAGGGCTGGAGATCCAGTCTTCAGACGCTGCGTCGCTATCATAGCCGTCATTTAGAGCGAGGTAGTTTTGACGGTTTCCACGAGTCTGCATCGCCATTTGAAGAGCTGAGGTCGGTAGGTGAATCTAGGTTATAGAGGGACGCACAGCACACAATTAAAGATATTGATATTGCAACAAAGGGATTCGTTAAGGAGAACGAACCGGGAAGGGGGGCTCTGCTTTTATCTTACGATTCTCTACAATTGGCCGGTCGCGCGATCCAGCTGTGGAATGCTCTGTGGAATGCTCTGTGGAATGCTCTGTGGAATGCGAGGAAGTAAGGTGGCCATCTCGGGTTGCGAGGCGCAGCGGAGCAAATCCCTTGCCGTAGCTCCCTACAACAGTAGAGTATTTAGAAAATTCCTAAGAGAAGGCTAACAGACCCTTGGGAGAAGAAGTTGCTTGATCCAGCTGGACGCTATGTACTTATTACCTAATTAGTCAACTTTCTAGCTTATTTAGGCATGTCACGTGCTAACTTGCGAATATCGAATAATTATTCGTATTCGCAGCTTATTCTGCGAATAATTATTCGCATACTTTAAGCCTGCGAATAAAATTAGCGAATATTATTCGCACTGTTTTGAATTGCGAATACGAATAACGAATATTGCGGATATCTGCGAATATTCGCATTCGCAACAGCCCTACCCACCGAAAATCATGGATATCACCAACCACATTGATAAAATTTTATTAACATAAACAAAAAAAATTCTACGATAGTTTCTTAAGATCCTCTTTACACGTTCACGTATTATGACCAGTTTCGCAGCAATTGCCGCATCGCCTTTGCTTCGTTGAATTCTCACCCAATTGAGCGTTCTTACCCTTGTTTCATGCTGTATATGTTTATCGACCTCTATTCTCTGTATTAAATCAAGACCTTCCTGTACTGTAAGTGTACCTCCGCGTTTTAAACGCTGTCGAGGACGCTGATGACGACGATTTGCTGCCTGATTCGCCTCTTGTAATGCTTGTACCTCAGCTTGACGAAGCACGGACGAATGCATTATCATCTCGGCAGCTTTGATAAGCTGATCGAGCGCCTGATTGAATGGAGTTGGTGAGCTCTTCTGGTGCCTTGCCTTGTTATTCGGTCAACCATCGTGAAAGCGGTTTCATCAAAGTTGTAGATATCCGCGTCAATAGTTCCGTGCTTTGTGATAGTGTTTTGTACAAGCTCAAACCATTGCCTAATTAGATCCGGATCCTCGCAGAGGGCCCGCTTGTAGTAATACTTACGATTACGTCTGGTTTTATGCTCCGGGCGATGTCTAGTGAAGTTTAAAGCCAGTTCTTGTCCGCCTTGCTTCCCATACACGTTGCAGGCAGTTGATTGGTCATATCTTCAACATTAACTAGTCTAGGAGAAAATCCTCGCGAATCCAATTCGAGGATGTGCTGATTTAGGGACACGGAGGGGCGGATCTGTTATGCATAAGGGCAAGCCTGTTGCTGTTCGCGAGGAGATGTACGACGTTTTGGCGGTTTGTCATTTAGTCTGTCGTCACGGTGGACGGGATAAGTCGCTCGGTCAGGTAAGTTTTTCGTTTGCAAATATTTAGATAACCGACTGGGCTTACGGGTCTAGCTCCGAGAATGGCACTCCAGAGTCCCCAAAAACCTGATTTCACAATTTATCAAGCTTTGCCCGACATGCAATCCGACACTAACTCCTCGCTAGGCGTGAGTTTTAAACTACTGGCGCGGATGCCTATGCGTCGTCGCTTAAGTGTCATTCGATTAACCTTGTACGTCGTTGCAGCTAATCGGTTACTATGAGTTTGGCCTCTATCGATAGCTTGGACGGCTAAGGATATCCTGCCTTCAGAATTCGTTGATTGAATGTCAATTGGTGGATGCATTGAAGTTGTGTTGTTGTGGTGTGGCACACTCGCCTATGAAATACGTTAATTGCAGTGGCCTGAATGCTCAATGCCTGACTAATTGGTGGTGTGGACTTGGGTAAATAACGGCTCATAGTCACGCATGTGAACTAGAGGACAGACGTAAACTACTCGACTGCTGTAGATTTCTAAGATCTACAGACTACCAGAATCAAACATCGAGCCATAGGCTGTATGCAACGACAATATTATTAAATTTGGAATTCAATGTCTTAGTGAGCTGTCATATTCGAAAGAAGCAATTTTCATCAGTTTTCCCCGTCATTGCTTCTCAGAATTTTGGGTCCTTTTGTATCTATAGCATAAATATACTAGTTCTCATAAAATATTGTTTTACTTCGATGTAATCTATCGGGCGAGGCGAACGAATGCCATATATTAATGAAATACAACCACGCATCTGTTCTAGAGTTCAGAGCTAGGGCTAGGGCTTGCGCTCTACCACTAGGGGCAAAGTTCACTTCTTTTGAAGAATAAGTTAGTTGGTCTAGTGGCCTAAAGGTAAGGCGCTGCTCTCCGGAGGCAGAGATTGTGGGTTCGAGTCCCATCTAGACCTTTTTTTTCTGTATTATGCTTTTGATCCTCTAATACTGCTACCACATGTTAATACGTTTATTAACTTCGAAATCAAAATGCATTAATCACATCGTAGTTCTTTAGTCTACACTACTATAATCTTACAGCCGTTATCGAGCATTATCTTTTACTTCAGTACCTATATATACATACTTTTAATGTCGCTCATAAACTCTGTATGCTCAGTATTCTCCTCTTCGAATCTTTTCCCTCAAAGCGACAATCGGTAGTCTACCACATGTTAATACGTTTATTAACTTCGAAATCAAACTGCATTAATCACATCGTAGTTCTTTAGTCTACACTACTATAATCTTACAGCCGTTATCGAACATTATCTTTTACTTCAGTACCTATATATGCATACTTTTAATGTCGCTCATAAACTCTGTATGCTCAGTATTCTCCTCTTCGAATCTTTTCCCTCAAAGCGACAATCGGTAGTCGCTGGTTCTCTGGAAAAGCAGCCAGCTGCTCGTCGGTGAATTCCATTACCTGCCTTATTAAAGCAGCCTTCTGAGGGTCCATATTTGTTGGTACCGTAGGTGTGCCTGTTCGCGACGCAGGATTGCCGGACGAATATCCAGCGCCTGCAAACGCCGGTTGCGAAACACTCGGGGCAGCAGCAACAGAAGGCGGTGTGGATGTCGCCCTCTGCTGTAACCCCACCAATTGCGACGGTTCAAAGGCCCTTGCTACAGCTGTCGCGTCCACTAGACCCAGTAATAGCATGCCTTGCACGACCGCGTATGATAGTTGAGGCGAGACTTTAAGCAATTCACGTGCTTTGGCGGGGTTCGTTGCAACCACGGTTTTGAGTTCTTGGAGGATGCTTAGCATTTGCGGTGCCGTATATGATGAGAGAGTGTTCGATATTGCGTCTGGTGTGGAGAGGTCTGGTGGAGGAGCTGTGCCTATTGGTAGGGGTGGCAGTGTTGAATCTTCTATAGCTCAGTTAAATTTTTTATTCTGGACAAGAATTAGGGATGAAGATACATACGTGCTGCAGTTTTGTTGCTCGTGAGAACATTCGGCCCTATCGAGGATTCGTGTGAGAAATCGACGCGCAATTGGCGATTACTTAGTTCATAGTTATTTAAATTTCGCACAGCGGACGCAGCTGTTTCAGAATCTACCAACACATGATCTTTAGCATCGGATCACTGAAATAGGTCACTGAAATGGGAAAATGTACCATGATATTCAACAAATCCATATCCTTTTGGTCGTCCGGTCTCCTTATCAAACACGAATCTGAAGTTGACGACAGGGCCTACCGATTGAAAGACATCTAAAAAGGAGAATAATTAGTATAGTCATAAACCAGCGAATTAGGTCATTCAATCTCTCCCGCTGAATCAGCATACCCATGATTTGCTCTTCTGATTGATCGTATGGGATGTTGCCTACGAAGACAACGCGCCCTCCTGTCTTATCACTCATAGTGACACCTGATAATCGTCGGCTCGTTAATAATTCCGCAATCCCTTAGTGGGTAAATTTCTCAGTTAATGAGTCCGATCCGGTGCTCTCCACCGTCAAGCATTACCTTGAAATTGATAGCGACAATTATAGCTGAGATGTTGCAATCCGGGTAATGAAACTGTGTTGCCCGCCCGCCCTGTGCTCCTAGTATACGTCATCCCAACACTATGGCTGAATATTTGTGCCGCGGTATTACTGCCAATCAAACTTTGCGTTATCTCTACACTCTGCTTAGGTCTAGGTCTTTTGACAAATGCAATATAGATTTATAATAGTCTAATATGGAAACTTTGACGACTAAGTTTCCTGGAGTGACATTACGACGCAGAAGGGGGAGCAGCCAGTCGGGGAGCGATCACGAGACCTCGAAGGAAGTGCCTACCACTGATTATTATCTAGATAACCAGTGAGTATATAAATCTCTACATTTGTTGAGATTTAATTTTTACGAGTAGTAATACAGATTGCCTATCGACCAGCTGAAGAAGGAAGTTCTCGCACTTACTCATCGATTAAAAATTGCTAGATGGCGAAGTGTCCCGATCTCGGAGCACGCTCAGATTAAGGTCACTAGGATATCTGGTGCACTTACCAACGCTGTGCGTTGTACATAATCAAAATAAGTCCCATAGATACTAACGAGGCGCCCATATAGGTATACTGTGTCACTCCTCCGGCGATATACTTGTATCAAAATTACGAACACCACAATCTTCCGCAACACGCAGTAGATTCACTAAGCAAGCCTGCGCCCACTCGACGGAAAAGCGTGTCGTCTTTGAGAATTCAGCATGTTCCTCAGCTACTGCTACGTATCTATGGGCCCAATACCTCGCAAATTATCGATCGAGCAACGGAATTAGCCCTCTTGAAACGTCTGTCGAGTCGAAATATTGGCCCTCGTATTCTCGGTGTCTTCGCCAACGGTCGCTTCGAGCAATTTTTAAAGGCACAGACGCTTACGAAGGAAGATATTCGGTCTCCGGACGTTAGCAAGGTTATTGCCAAGCGCATGAGAGAGTTGCATGATGGTATCGACTTAACTTTCGACGAAAGGTCGCAAGGACCTGGTGTCTGGAAGAATTTTGACAAGTGGGCTATTGATGCGAAAGTTGTGCTGGACAAACTAGATGGGAAGATCGGGCATATGCAGGGCATGAAAGATACCGGCGGATTGGGGCCGCCGTGGTCGACTAGGCGTGTGCTAAGGGCGGATTGGATGACGTTTATGGAGGCCGTCATGTCATACAGGGAGTGGCTGGATAAAGAAACCGGGAGGCCAGAAGTACTAGCGAAGGGGCTAGTTTTTGCGCACAATGATGTAAGTAGGTTCATCGGCATTTGCATGATTCTAAGGCACTTACTTGTCGATAGGCACAATATGGCAATTTGTTGCGGGTTGAGCCACCGTCAGGCTCGCCTCTACTTAGACCTGCGAATGAGCACAAGACATTGGTTGTAATCGACTTCGAATATGCTAGTCCAAATGTTCGAGGATGCGATATATCCAACCACTTTGTAAGATATTCCATTTGGGTTTGGGATCGCCGTATTGACAATTATTAGTGCGAATGGATGTCAGACTATCATGACCCTGAGCGTCCTCAAGATATTCACAGCGAGAAGTTTCCGACCGAGCAAGATCGTTTACGATTTATCGAAAGCTACGTGGCCCATGGCCTCGATGCATACGAAGATATTGATAGAATTGACAGAGAGATTGCCGCGCTTAGTCGAGAAGCAATCATTTGGCGCCCGGCTATTCATCTCGGCTGGTGCATGTGGGGGATTATTTCCGCTCCTATTGAGAAAGAGCCGGAAGAAGACTCGGAGGGGTTCGTAGACTTAGAGGATCCTGCTATTGAGACGAATTCGGAAGCACAAGGTTTGGAAGCTTCTCAGTTTGATTATCTCGACTATGCGTCTCAGAAGGCATCTCTTTTCTGGGGAGATATAGCGAACTTGGGTATTCCAATCCCGGAGGGGGTGGATACGCAATATGCTATGTATATTGGGAAAAAATGGAAGTACGCACGATATTAGCACGTCTTATTGGCTATGGAGTGATTAATGGGCAGAATCAATGATATGGAAATGTGTGTGCTGTATTTTGCATTATAGAATATAAGTATCAAACTATCACACTATTGCATTTTGTACAAGTACCAAACGATGGTTGTAGGCTGACGGTAGAATCGTAATCGACAGGCTGCAATGATCTGTCTCCGAACATTTGCGCCTCCTGTTACCGTGTCATAATATATTGAGCGGCTGCGACACGAGTATTACATCGCTGCGAATCGCATGACATTGGAGCACAACAGCGCAAGCAACTCAATTCACAAGTGAAGTGAGAGGTATCTACTGGCGCTAGTGTTATGTGACGGCTCTGGACTCTGGCAATTGGGAGTTGGGGGAATCGTTGGCCGCCGGGTAAACGTAAGGCGCTTGCGTAATGCATGATTGCCGTCGCTGTCAGCATACAAATCTAGGCCACTGCCCCTTACTCTCTTTTTACCCACATTTGCACTATCTGGGTTTGACTTCGTTCAGGGTTGATGTGTTGCTTTGTGATCTGCTAGCTGCATCATTCCTCCAGCCGAAAGTATTATTGCCAGCATTTCCTTATTGTGAGCAGCTAACGATCTCGATCTGACCGTTCCTATTGCGATCTAACCAGTTCAACGAAGGAGCCATGTCTGGAACTTCATCTTTAGGCAATCCGCTGGAATTCTACGTCGTAGGGAATTTTCATCCTCTTCGCATCGATTCCGACAGATACGATGCTACAGTGAAAGCGAATGGTCCGCCTTTGTGCTACTTTGACGAGGATGGGGATCGTATTACGGTATGTTGGGAATGCTTTGGTAATGCCCGGTGTGCTTTTAACTAACGGCCGGCTAGGTTGGGTCCGCACATGAGCTTCGTGATCGAATTATCGAACTTAAATCTGCGAATAAGTCGGTCGTTTTTGCTCTTACCGCCAAGGCTGGTCCAGAGTGGTACGATGCTGAGTGTGTTGATACGTTAATCATTGCGCCTACTTCTGGTATTGATCCAGCAGCGACACCAGTGTCTATAGCGACTGTGCCAGAATGTTCCGCAACCCCCGCTGTTACCGCCATTTCTCGTACGGATTCAGCTACATCGTCGATGTCGTCAGATTACACAGTTATTGATTATTCCGATGTGCCTACACCTGAGGGTCCTATATCCGAGGTGGCGAGTACTGCTGACGACGAAGAGTTAGCAGAGCGGGCGGCCCCCGTGTCCACTCGAAGCAAGCAATTCTCTGATCGTCTTATTGCCGCGTTTGAGAACATGATGAGCGATACCGAAAGCATGTCGCAGCCTCTTTCTTCTACGGCATCTAATTGCGATCCTGATAATTATGATGACGACTTGTTTTCAGAAATTGTGAGCACTAGATCGCATACTGAGCCTGATGAGTCGTTTCTGGGATCCGAACGGAGTACGTGCTCGCTGGCTACCCTC